TTTGTTGTCCTCTTCTCTCTCTCTGCCTACGGTTTACCGGGCAGTTCTATTTGTGACGATATATATATATATATATACACAGCCCCTCGTTTGTTGTCCTCTTCTCCCTCTCTGCCTACGGTTTACCGGGCAGTTCTATTTATATATATTAAAAATATTAAGAGTCATATTCTCAATTCACATTAAGTGTGTGTGGCCTCAGACTAAAATCATTCATCTTAGAAACAATGCTCAACGCCTCATCTCAATATTAAGAAAGCAGAGTACTCTGGGTAATTCATCTTAGAAACAATGCCCAAGCTTGTTCATAAATCATCCAGAAACAAACAACGGTCAGACCATTTCTCTTAGAAACAATGCGTGACCCTAAAATTTCAAGCAGTCAAACCGTAAAGAAAAAACAACGAGACCATTCATCTTAGAACCAATGCCTCGTTGTGGATAAAACAAGTCAAACAAACAAAACAACCAAGCCATTCATCTTAGAAACGATGCTTGGTTTTTCAGAAAAAAAAAAAAAAAAACAAGCGATCAGGCCATTCATCTTAGAAGCAATATCTGACCCTTTAAGACCCAACAAAATTCAAGCAGAACTGCCTTCCTCCCACCTTAACCCAGTTTATCCCTATTGGTCTGAATTCAAACAACAGAAATAATAGATGATTTTCACACATGCATTCCCTTGACTTAATTTGATTAAATCCTGAACAAGAAACAAAAGTTCATTGGGCGCATGCATACATAGCAAATAAAAATAGAGGGTTGTACTCATATGGGTTTAGTGGGTTCATACATGGATAAGATTTGTTATACCTAACAATTTTTTGCCTCCAGAACTTCGCCTAGGTTCCGACAGAGCTCCCACAATCGATAGGTAGACCTCCCACAAGGTCTTGATGCGGTGCTAGGGTTTCCAATTCCTCCCGCCGCCTTCCTCTCGTAACCAGTAGACTAGACTGAGAGTAAGAAGGACAGAAGGAGGAAAGTCAGACTCTCTAGATACAAGAAGGGGACAAACTCAGCAAGCATGCGAGGGCCTTGAAATATGGATGCGCATGAGGGCCCCGCAATGGTGGCCAATTGCGCAGTAGAGCGACCAAACAGTGGCTAGAATGTAGAGTAAGCGGCACTCTGGCAAACCTTTGCAGAGTTTGATCACACCTCAAGTCACCACGTCTTCACCTCCAATCAAACTGCAGCTACGCAGCCTAGAAAGGTTGCGTTCGAATAGAGCACGCCCTTCCGCTCTAATCGAATGTGGGCCTTAACATCCCCCCACAGACTAAGTGATCACAACAACTTGGGTTGGGAACAAAATACCGAGTTGGAGAAAAAAAAAGAGTGGGCAGCAACGCTTCTCGAACTTAGCAACCACATGCCTAGTCGCCTGCAGCCTCCGACCGGAAACAGGACTCAGAAGCACCAACAACTCCAAACCACAACAACGTAGTAACTCGGCGGCCTTGCGATCGCAACCATCTGGGTCCGCGACAATACTACTGCCACCGAAAATCACTAGATCTTGCGGCAACAACCTGTTGTTGTCAAAAGAAATGACAACATCTCACAGCAGCACCCGCTGCTGTTGAAAACAACAACTTGAGTGGCACCTCGAAGCAGTTACAATCGCCGTTAAGAGTGTGAATCAACAACATCAGTAGAAAGACCTTGATGACGAACAGCAGAAGGATTACATAACAGATACGAAGGTCAACACCTTGATGAAGAGCACACCAATTATCATCAGCATGAGTCCCTCAAAGGCGAACACTATCATGATGGCGAGCATTAAGTCATGCACCACGAACGTGCCAGAATGAGACAGAATCTTTTGCAAGAACATGGAAAAATATGCTGCCACTTTTGAGAATGGGTCTTCCACTGGAACGTTGAAAAACACAGGCTGGGGATGGTGACCATGAGCTCGAACTAGCAGGGGTGATGGCCATGGGAATCAATGGTCAAGAGATGATTGCAAATGGACGAGCAATACCTGGTAAGGTAACGACCATCGTATGAACAACGATTGTAACAGGCTTCCATGCGAATAGCTCCTCCGGGAAGATCAGAACGATGACGATCATCGTGACCATGAGTGGAACTGTGCGACTATGGGCCTTACTCCCCTACTCGACAAATGTGCAAAATGAGGATGAATCTTCCGCTAGAACATACAAAGATACATCGTGACAGACCAATGCATTGAAAAGAAATCCCAGTGTGAGTATGGACTAAGGAGCTGTCAGATGCAAATGTCGTCGTGCGAGCGAGAGGGAGAGAGAGTTTTCCATCCATAGGATGAACAAAATCGGAATGAATCTTCTGATAGAACATCGAAATATACATCGCTTTCCAGCCCGTATTCACTAACACCCCGCGCGCAGCTGCCAATGCCCGTACCGACCTAACCGCTAGTCTAATGCAAAAACGAACACCGCTATCACGCTCGCCCCGCCCCAAAACCTCGAGTTCAAGTTTTACTTCGCCGGATTCCGTTAAGGAACGGGCGAGTTATGGCTTCCTCCCCTTTACCATGTTCGCCTTCGTCATCTTCGTCATCCGCGCCGTACGTTCTTCTTCGTTGTCGTCATTGCCGGCTCCAGTTCACAACGCATGGTCACACACCCGTGTCTAATCTGTCAACAACTCCAGCTATCCTGCGGGAACTTCGGATGGAACCAGCTACTAGACAGTTCTATTAGTCTTTCGCCCCTATATCCAGGTCCGATGAACTACTTGTGCACAACATCGCTGCAGCCCCCGGCCACAGTGCCCCTGGCTCGCTCTACTTAGGCATAGTACACCATCTTTTGGGTCCCAGCAGCATACTCACACTCGAGCCTCTCACAACAGGTCGTGGTTGGCAGGAGGTGCACCCACAAAGGGTTTCTTCCGCCTCATGGCCAAGCACCCCCACTGACTCACATGCACGTTGACCTCCTCGGTTCGTGTTTCGAGACGGTCGAGGAATTTCGCCATCCTCTTGAACACGCACAGATCCCAACGGGCCCACCAAAAATTGTTTGTTCGAGGTCCTCGGGTTTTGAGACGGCCACCCGTGGAGGAATTTCAATTGCCTCCCATTGCAATGCTGGTCACAACAGCCCATGCTGGCAAGTACCCCACGTCCAGCCAGAAGGGTGGCGGCCTTGAGATACCAGCACTAAACTAACTTGCCGCAAGTAATGCAAATTATTTTATCGTGTTCATCTGATCGCAGCTGGTTTCAAACTTGGGTCTATATTTCCGCAGTTCATCAGTGTACCAATTGAGGTAGGCCGGTTGATATCACGACCGATTCCAATATCAGCACCAGGCCGTCCCGTCTCAAAAATGAGACTCTAAACTTAATAAAAATAACTAGAGTAAATAATAAATAAATAAAAAATAAAAAATAAAAATAAATAAAAAACGTAGTGGAACTGTAAAGGGAACGGGGGAAGGACCGCGACACCTCCTTTGCCCCAAGGTGAAAGTCTGATGTCTTAACTAATAGTGCTAGGCCCAAGGCTGGGTTTAGCACTAGTGCACACTTATATAAACGGTTGTCGCGCAACGCGTGGCCTACTGAAACACTCCAAGGCCACACCTCCACGTGTTGGTTGCATCCACGCTCGCCAAACTCCCGCACTTACCGCGCGGAGGCCCGATCCGTGCCTTTACTCCACCACTCACGTCGTTCACCACACAAAAGCCGCACTGCCGTCAAAGCCGACCTCTACACGAGCGCACGCGCATCACGGTCAAATGTACCAACCAAGGAAAATATCACTTAGTCCTCTCTTAATCAAAGATAGAAGAACTAACCGACAAGTGTGCCCGCTCGTAATATCAATAAAAGAAATTACGCGCGCCATGAAACTGCGCGACCACACACGCCCTACTTTTCTTTTGAGCACTCAGTGGGTCACAAAAGAAAACAAGTCGCGGCTCATATAGCACACCCAACTTTCTTACCCAATTTTCAAATCAGGACTTTTTTTTCTGTCACTTGCAAAGACGAGGGCGGATACCCTTATAAGAGTATTCGCACTGACAACCCCAATCCCATACTGGCTCGCATCCGTAATGACTACGAATGTGAGTTTGGAATCTGCAATGCAGAGTACAACATAACTTACCGAGGCCTCTTTCAAGGCTTGAAAAGAGGTCTCACATGTTGCATCCCGCGTGTAAGATACGTTCTTGCTTGTTAGTTTGGACAACGGGCAAGGAACAACAGAAAATCGGGGCATGAACTTCTGATAGTATGATGCAAGACTAAGGAAAGAACGCAATTCGCAGAAGTTCGAGGGTGGAGGCCACTTGCGTATGACCTCAACCTTAGTTGCCTCAGGCTCAAGGCCTGCAACAGACAACCGGTGCCCAAGATAGATGCCGATGTCCATCCCAAACTCATATTTCTCTAAGTTGAGATGGAGTTGCGTTTTTTTTAGGATGGTGAACACTTTCTCAAGGTGCTTCATATGTTCCTCAATCGATTTGCTGAAAATCAGAATGTCATCAAGATACACAACCACAAACCGACCAATCTGCTTGCGGAAGACCTTGTCCATAAGACTTTGAAAGGTGGTCGGTGCGTTCGTGAGACCGAAGGGCATTACGGTGAATTCGTAAAGCCCGTCTCGGGTCTTGAACGCAGTCTTGTGCTGGTCCGCATGATCGACTTCAATCTGGTGGTACCCAGACTTGAGATCGATCTTGTAGAAGACCTTGCACCCACCTGTAGCATCAAGCAAATCATCTATGTGTGGCAATGGGTATGCATTCTTCTTTGTGATGCAGCTTAGACCACGATAATCAATACACATACAAAGTTTGCCTCCTTTCTTTGGGACAAACAAAACAGGTGCACCGAGTTCAGATTTGCTAGGCTTAATCCATCCCTTGTCGATCATCTCATCGATCCGTTTTAGGAGTTCCTCCAACTTGCCGGATCCCATACGGTATACACAGCACTTTGGAGGAACGATGCCTTCGACCAACGCAATCGTGTGTCAGACCGATCGCGTGGGGACTCCACGGGGTTCGACCAAAACTTTCGGAATCGGTCGAGTGAGCTTTGGATGCTTGTTGGGATCGGCGGGGGTGGGGGATAAGAAAAAGGATCACCTAGATCAGGTCGCAAGTTATTAGTGAAGACAACCGAATTTGAAGCATGTGTAGGGATAGAAGTAGATTTATCATGCACAGTAGAATTATTACTGACCGCAAAAGTAGAAGGTACATGAGTAGGACAAACAAAGGCAACATACAATTGTTCATCCTCCTTATGCCTGTACCACTTCTTGCAGATCTGCATGACATTAAAAAAAGTCACAAGGGAGTCGAGCTTCTCATCCAAGAGGACAAAACGCTCATTCCCTTGTGCATCTTTGACCATGAAAATCGGTTCCTTCCACTTGGTCCATTCATATTGGGACTGCAACCAGCCCAACCCGAGGACTGCGTCGAAGGGCACTTGTCAAGGACATAGAAGTTCAATGCGTGTGTGATAGTCTTCTCTTTATCAAAGGTAGTGCACACACCTTTGACTGCATGCGTGGATGAGACAACCTCTTTGTTGCCTACTTGAGTACGACAAAGGCTCTGCAAAACCACTTGCTTCATCCCCAAGCCCACTTTGGGTATCCCGTGCGGTGACATGAAATTAGTCGTGGCACCACAATCAATCAAGACACAGAGATAGCGGTGGTTAATGAGAAGTTTGAAGAATATCAACTTCGCTATCCCTTGAACACGCTGTTGTTTCATCTCAGCCCAATGCTCTGGGTGATAGTGAAAGCCGACCTTCTTTGATTCCTCCCAATGCTCAACATACAAAACATGACATTCATTAGCCTTCGAATCAGCAAAAGATGGGACTTCAAGGGAGGACTGCTGGTCCGTGACATGTTCCTTTGGAGAACTATCACTGACTGATTCAGACTCCCTTGTTGTAAAGTGTGTTGATGAACCCTCTATAGCGGATTCAAGTTTCGCTGCATCCTAAAGCATCCTTGGACCTTATGATTAGTTTTCGGCAATGCAGGTAACCTCCTTTCTTTAATCTAACCTTCCATACAGCCTCACTGATCCGGAGGTCCACCCAAGGTTTAGTACTTGCATCCTCCGGATTGGCTGGGATTTTGGCTCCCTTAGGGAGTGCGACGAAGTTCCTTACTGAGTTCCCGTTTTGGTTTCCCTTAGCATGGGCAGTCTTTTTTGAAGGCACCAAATTTTTCATCTTCGTTATTGATCTCGGATTCTTGGGTGAAAAAGTAGGTTGTATCAGCGTCCTGTTCTTGGTCGTCACCAAGAGTGGGGTCATCTGCTTCAGCCTCCTCTTCGACCTCCAACAAATCAAGCGCACCAAGACGATTGCTGCCACGAAACCGTCCGTGGACAAAGTTTTTTTTGCTTCTGGATGTGGTAAGGAGGGCTCGTGCCTCGAGGCTGACTACAACTTTCAAGAAAAACCAGTCAGTGTAACCAAGGAAATCCCTGCCTAGGCGATTGGTGAAAGTGGTGGGAACCGTACATTTGACAACATCCAAGCATGATTGCGCTGTCAGTTCCAATCCTGGTGTCGCAAAGAGTTTGCTGACATGCAACTGCAATTTGTGCAATGTGCCCTGCCACATGTTGCGCTTAAGATCGCCGAGTTGGATCCTTACGCTAGCTGCAGCATGTGGGTCCTTGTACTGCTCAGCCAGTATCTCTTCGAGAGCGGCAGCCGGGGTGACTTTAAGCCACTCCGTTAGACCGATCTTTGGATGGCCAACTTACGTAGCTTGGACTTCTAGGAAGCCCCTTCTGACAGCCTCGATGTTCATCCCGAGGATCAAAGACTGGCTCACTCTTGGAGTGCCGTGTACCTCAAAGTAAGCTCTCATGGAGGTGATCCAAGACTCAACATCTTCCTTGCCATCATATATGGACGGTATCATCACCGCCTTTCTGTCCATATATGGACTGCTATTGCTGGGACTTGCCATTGTGTCCAATCTCAGGGCTGCAGCAGTTGCAGAATTTCTTGCGCTGTCGCTTGTAGCGGCAACAAAATTTGCACTTGTTGCAGGTCCTGAAAGGTTTGCCACCAAACTCAACGAAGAAGAATAAGAAGAGGAAGAAGGATGGAGAGGTGCAAAGGTAGAACGGTTAGCAACAAGAGGTAGGGGAAGAGAGCTCTCATGGAGCTTGAGATTTGGGGCCTGATGCATGATTGCCATCTGTTGTATCTGATCCTGATGCTCCTTGGCCATATCTGCCATTTGAGTAAGCAACTGACTCATTTCGTCGAGTAGTTGGGACTTTATACTCGAAAGTTCGCTGAACAAAAGCTAATCTACGAGGGCACGTATGTACTTGACCAGATCTTTCTTAACATCTACATCAGTCATAGTTGAGACTGTTTTGAAAATTGTCTCAAGACCTTCAGCGGCTGCTTTCCCCTTACCCTCTTCCTTCTCCTCCTTGGCCATTTCCTTCTGATAGAGGGCCTGGTACAACGATTTATCCTCGTCATCCACTGTGAAAGGCCTTCCATGATTCAGACCCCAAATTTGGATCTCAGGGTCAGATGCCCAGGCCAAAAAAAGGCCGAGTTCGTCAAACTCAGAAAAGTCACAATCGGGTATCTCAGCAGTCTGGTCCAACAGGCACCCAGCAGACAGTCACGTCTCAGGGACAAGAGTCATGTCTCATAATAGAAGCCATTCAGAAGAGTCACATTCCACGAGCGAAAAGGCAGATTCACCAAGCAAGAGTCATGTCTCAAGACAGGAGTCACGTTTCTTAATGAAAAGTCATATTGAAGAGACACATCCCACGAGTAAAAGGTAGTATCACAGGCAAAAGTCGTGACCCACAGGCAAGAGACACTGTCCACAGTCAAAAGTCATGTTCACAAGTGAAAAGTCATGACCCAAGGGCCCAAGCAACAGCAGTCCAATGAAAATTCGGGAAGGTTCCAGGCCTTGGCATTCAGTAGCAGACAGGCCGTGGGGATGTGGTACCGGAACCAGACAGGACCCAAGAAATAGAGGCTGGCACGAGTTGAAGTGCAAACCAAGACTACAAAAGGACTGGCCAGCCTCACATTCAAGGAGATTGTGGAAGTGCTGGTGCACTTGTGCGCTGAAGTGAGGAGCAGAGCGCTGAGGCCAGAGTGCTGCGCTAAGTGAGGGAGAGAGAGGAAGATAGCGCTGGCAGGGAGAAGTCAGCCATAGCTGCGCCAGTGCAGAAGTGTTAGTAATAGTTGTTAGTAGTAGACTCCGGAGGGGTTAGTAGAGTTGACAGTGGGTGTATCCAGAGTAGATTCTTGAGTAGAAGTTAGTGAGTGTGCGTGCATGTAGTGAGAGAAGATACAACAAGGACATAGCTAGAGAGAAGATGTTACATACTTCAATGAGTATGGGCAGAACCAAAGATCAACCAATGTAGGATGAGCATATATGCAGCGGAAGTCTGATAAACGGACTGACTCACATAGATATCACTCCACACACATACAATCGTGAGATGGTGGGGTCTGAGCCATACATGGACGATGCTCAGCCCCGTACACACATACACAGATGAAGGTGGGAGGAGAGACGAAGGAGGTGGGAGATGTAGATAGCACCAAATGTCACCGAGATAGAAACCAGTAGGTCACCGATATGGTAATCCAAAATGTCATCGAACAAGATCAAAATGTCGAGGACAATAAGTCACCAATGTCGGAGATACCGAGTCCTTATGTAACCGGTGTCAAATCTGTGATGCCGCCGAGTATCATCCCCAACAATCTCCAAGTCTCGAATCCGGTAAGTACCACAGCCTCTCACCACCGAAGTCCAACTCTGATCTCTGTCCAACTAGTATAAGTCTCCAATCTGAAGAAGAAGAAGAAGAAGAAGAAGAAGAAGAAGATGATGAAGAAGAAGAAGATGGAGTCTAAAGAGAAGAAGAAGAAGAAGAAGAAGAAGGGAGCCGAGGAGGAGAGAGAGAGAGAGGGGACTGGCGATGGGAGGGAGGAGAGAAACCTCCGACTCCCGATACCTCAGGCGGCTATGGCCGCCGATACGCCCAGTCGCCGCTGCTGCTGCTCCGCTTGCTGCTGCTGAGCTAACGCTGCGCTGCGCTGCTCCTCGTGCTCCTGCGCTAAACATAGCACCAGCGCTGATTCGCGCCGTACCATACCCCACCGTTAGAGTGCCGGTGGGTCGATAGCCTCAATGAGGCTGGACCGGTACTTTTGTACCGGTGGGGCAGAGGCCGGCCTCAATGCTGCGAGGCCTGGCCGTGCCCTGAACCGTCAAGATGGACGGTTCAGCCCCAACCGGCGGGCGGCAGCCTCAAGAGCGCCGCCAGGCCCAAACGGTAATGTCGTTTGGGCCTGCCCGTCGGGTCTGGTCCAAGGTAAGGCCTTTACGGCCTGTAGTACCCCCAAGGTCGGGCCTTTAGGCCCTACTGTGTCCCTCTAACCCTAAGTCGGGTCCGATAGGACCCGTGTGGCGTCGAAGATGTAACAGAAGACCAGTAAGGAGGGGAGGTACAAGCAGGGGAAGAGCAGTGGGAGAAGAGAATCTTACCTGAGAGTTTGTGTTGGATATTGGTTATCTTTGACATGCGCTGATGAGCGCTGGTGACCCGGAACTCTTATTGCTCTTGTATAACTCGTTGGATTTCATAAGCTGCGCTATCTGGTCTTAAAAATCTCTCTGAACTCCAATGTGAACTTCGTGTGATCTCATACATGCTTGTGGTGTGAATATGTGCGCTCATTGGTGTTGAACTGTGAGGTTCATTGCAGCTGCATCCACTTGAGCCTTTAGAATATCAGAAAGCTTGGCTGGTGCCATGTTGGAACTACTAGATCCTTTAGTTGCCATGGCCTCTCTCTCTCTTCTCTCTTGTTTGCGCATCGTGACGGGCGTACGATGAACTTTAGTAAACAAATTGAAAGCACAAGAAGAGAAGGTAGAACTCCTAGCCGGAGCGGCAAAATATTTGGTCTAGAGAGCAACCAAATTAAAAAACAAAGATAATTCAGAAGAGAGCTTTGACTCCGCGTTTTAGTCCGGTCAGACCAAGTACGAGGTCCCCTCAAGCCTAATCCGATTGGTACCGTCAAAGTACAGCAACTCAGACTACAAGTAACAACATAGAGCAATGGAGAATTGAGTTGTGTGTAACGTGCAGGTCAAGCATCGGATTGTGCGTCATCAGTCCGCAAAACATCTCATCCCCTCGGCAGCGAGTGCTCTAATAAAAAAGAACAGCAAGGTCTGCAGTAGGGAACTTGGGAAGACTGCTATGGCGGATCAATGTGAGTTTTGAGCACGGGCAGTTGCCCGTGTTAAGGCTCAAAGTCGACAACATAGATGCCATGCACGCGCGAGTCAGAGCCCAACTCACCCTGATCAAATGCAAACCAAATTTGTAGAAAGACCGAAGCCGAGAAGGAAACCCAAAATGCAACTATGACAAGGCAAAAACAAAGATCTTCAACTTCAACGAAGCATTCATTGTCATCCATACATGTAGAGCAATCAGTATCTCAGCCACTCCACCATTATGGACTCGTGCAAGTGGAAGGGTGTAACGAGAGCTTCACACACATACATACAGTCACTAGATTCATGACTCCAAGTGACTTCCACACAGTGGAGCAGTCCTGCATCTCATTGCACACTCGCAGTTAAGGCCATGCACATGACTCAGCGCATTACTTAGTCTTCAGCCTGCACTCAGACATCAGCACATGACTTAGTCTTCAGCCGGCACTCAGACACCGACAAGCAGCGATGGAGAAAAGCCAAGTCCCTCGCAGCTTTTAAACATTAAAAAGACAGCATGGCTGATTGTCGTCACTCCTCAGGCGCTTTAGGCTATTGCTGGCGCTGTTGGCGTCCCTCGCAAGTTTTAAACATTAAAAAGACGGCATGGCCGATTCTCATCACTACTCACGCGCTTTAGGCTCTTGCTGGCGCTGTTGGTGTTAACTATGGCCGGGTGACTCAATGTCGACTGTGGATTGTACGTCATGTCAAATCTTTGGATTACCGCTCGAGTGCTTGGGCTTCAAGATACATCATTGCGTTGGATCTCCTTACTAGTTATATCCATCTCTCCCTCCTTCATCTTCTTCGCCTTCCCTCCTCCTCCTCCTCCTTCTTCTTCTTCTTCTTCTTCTGCTGCTGCTGCTGCTGCTGCTGCCGCTGCTCCTCCTTCTTTTTCGTTTTTCTTCCTCCTTTTCTTCCTCTTTTCCTTCTTTCCCTCTCTACTTCTATCCTTTTCTCTTCTTCTTTTACCTTCCCCCATATCTTCTCCTCTCTCTCTCTCTCTCTCTCTCTCTCTCTCTCTCTCTCTCTCCTTCCCTCTGTACTCCCTGCTCTTCCCTCCTATGTTCCCCTTCCATTGAATTCTCTAAATTTGTACCATTTCGAGCTTGCTCCTATACCTTTGGCTTCTTGATTTTCTGATCTTCTGGTTACATGTGCTGCAATTTTTTTTGAAATTTCATATGGCACATTAAGGTATGCTATTGTGAAGTGTCGGAGAGATGATGCATGGAGATGTGAAAAGAGTAATAGCTGCGACCGACCATACTAGATATCTCAGATGCTAGAGTTATGGTTTAACTTAAACTTCTTTCTTATTCTTGTCCCCTGATGTGCTGACAGAGTCACTCCGCCATTGGTCGATATGCTCTAGTACTCAACGCCGCCGCACGTGCTCGGTACATCTACTCCAATCCATGAGGCGTGAACCAGCTTATCCTCAAGGCCCTATGCCTGGCAGCACCCTCACACATCATCAATCCTCCACCACTGCTCTGTCCCTCGAGCCACAACCTACCAATACCACCACTAGACTCACACCACGCCGTCAATCTACCCATCCGTTGGGCATGCCGAGCCTATTCGGCGCCACAGTCTTCGTGCAGAGTTCATGCAGCATTGCAGCTGAAATCAAATAGGAGGAGAGGAAGGGGTGAATTTATAGTGGAGAAGGCGGTGGAATGTTGGCGTATATGGTGGGGTAGGGAGTAGCGAGAATTGAGATAGACTAAGTTTCGAGAAGGATGAGGGAGACAACGAAGGATAAATGATCTAAACATTTCGCAGGAGTCAGGTTGATCGCCTGAGCTGTGCGGAAATTTCGCTCTAATGACTTTGATCCGACCAACTCGAACCACAGCCAATCATCTTTCGCCGAGAAGGAAGACGAAGACAAGGAAGAACGAACGAAGACGAAGAGGTGCACGAGGATGAAGGAGGCGAACAGGAAGAGAAGTTGGTGCATGTGCATAAGTGGGAAGCTGATTTGCGTGCAATGCAAAATTCCAATCACCAGCGTGTGCACATTAAAGAATTAAAAAACAACAACAGCAACAGAAAATGTACCCGAAAGCATAAGTATTTCTTTAGGAATTTCAGCGGTCGCTATTTGGCCGGGCACATCTAAATCACCAATTGACAAGGACAACCATCTTCCCAACCCCTTCTAACCCATTTTTCACTAGGACCTGTTCCAGTGGCCCACTTTGGGGTTTAATCCGAAGGATACGTGTCGCTGCATGGTATGGAACTTGGCCTATCACAGTTAAACCGCTGGTACACGACCCCAGCCTTGCAATATTTCTTCATCACCTACTCCTGAAATTTCAGAGGCTTGGGGGGGCTTTGCCAGCCAAAAAAGAAAAGTAGTGAACCGCTGGCGGTCCGGCAAACCTTGCCGTGAAGTGCAGTGCCGCCAGGCCCACGTGTACTGGTGGTCTAATGCGCCGTGACTTTTGGGGCATGACCTACGATTCGTTTTTTTTTGGCGCGCAGGGAGTTTCTGGGTCGGCAAAGGAAGGGTCATAAGTACTGGTGGTTTAAGTCTGTTTCCGACCCGCATCTAATCTCAGTTTCTATCATCTTGACCACTGTGGGCCAAGCTTACTCCGTGTGTGTGTGTGTGTGTGTGTGTGTGTGTGTGTGTGTGTGTGTGTGTGTGTGTGTGTGTTATGGCTGTGTAATAGTGTGTATGTTTGTACCATCCGTTCTGCACAGTATGACCAACCCGCAAGGTAGCCCATCCTTTTTCTTTTTTTTTTCTTTTTTCTGAGAAAAGCTCCGATCTATTCGTGGGGAGCAGCACCTGCTGAGAACCGGTGCAAGGAACATGAATGTGGACGAAGCACAGAAATCCAGATTGCAAAATCACACTGAAGTCCAAGTAGTCAAAGCAAGAGCAGATAGCACAATGGAACCGAGTAACCATCCATTTGAGAACGATACAGAAGAATCGTGAGTCAATGTCCAAGCCCAATCGGGCAACACCAACAGCATAACCCAA